TTGGCCGAGCCATCCGCATGAATAGCCTGCACTTCGGCGGAAATCAAATCGCCCTCGACGAAGAACTGACGAATCAGCAACTCGTCTTCTTCTAATTTTCTTCTCTGAATGCCGCCGGGAAGATAAATTGCCGATAGCTGCAGGGTAGCCGGTTGTTGGCCATTTAAATCGATGGCCCACTTTCGTTGACAAACCCTGATGACTCGGCCAACGATGACATCCCCGATTTCGCCAAGGTATCTTTGGAATTTACAAAAGCTTAAAGTACCTTGCCTTTGGAGGGATAACTCGTATAAGTTTGTTGATGTACTCGACATTTCCAGCAACCGTAGACAAGATGGATGAATTTGAACTGTCGAGAATGGTACCGTTTCCACAAATAAACGACTCTATGTCGTTTGTGATAAGATCTCCGGGCGTGTAAAACGAAGAAGACGAGATGGGAGGCTTCCGATCGTGTATAAGCTTATTGCTGCCATGCACCAAAAGCTCGTGTATCCAATTTGAGGCCATGGGGATGTATAAATAATTAAAATCCGGTCCGATAAATTATTTAAGGGAATAAAAATTTGCATGTACCCTAAAACGGATATCCATGCACCTTAAAGCAGATATCCATGCACCTTAAAGCAGATATCCATGCCGCCCCGCCAAGCGGACAAATAATTTGTTTTCAACAATCAAGCGAAGCATACAAGCTATTATTGGCGGCGTAAAATTTGCAATTGCATATTTAATTAAACCTTGCGCCGCTCTGCATTAAAAATCACATATCTGTTGCGGATACACGCTGCTTAAATGGTCTGAAGCTTGGAAAATTATATACATCAGTTTAGTTATGTTCAGCGGGTTGTTCAGAATTTTGCGGGCTTTCGTTTGGAGGCTCGAGCGCAACACTGGCTCCGTTAGACGGATCGGGCAACATTTGGCACTCATCATCTGCATCAAACCAGGATTGTTCGACGGTTTCTTTAACGCGCTTCACGTATTCTTGGCGGTTTTCCATGTAAAGTTGGGCCGCGTGTGCGTTAGCAGGGCTGTTTGGATTTGGATCGTGCAAAAGCGACTGGATACTTGTCAGTATTGAGGAAACATCATAGCTGGGGCTCCAGCGATTCTGAAGAATGTCCAGGCATAGCTGGCCATCGGGATAAACATTTGGATGGAACATCTTGGAGATAAATTTTACCGATGGCGGCTTGTTGGGATAGCTTTCGTCGAACCGGAGGACCAGGCGAAACGTTCCATCCTCAAATGGGGTATCCTCGGGGCTAAAATGAGCGCAAGATGCAATACCCGAATATTACGGCCTGCCAAAGCATGATGTTGTCCGAAAGCGGCGATCCCGCAACTCCTGGCGGCGGGTCTTGCTGAATGCATCGGAAATCTCGCATCAAACGGCGACGGCAGGGAGTTGACATTATTAATATTTGCTTGCAGGTTTTGAATTTAAATTCCATCGATAAACTTGTAAAATGTTGCTTTTAATTTGTATTTTCATGACCATCCCTTCAAAGTCAGATTCATCGTTGCCGACATCTGCTTTTGCCTCGTCCTCTTGTTCTTCTTCGTCTTCTGAAAAGGAAATACGCATATCAAACGTTCAGGACGTACAGTATCCTTTTTGGATCCACTTTTTCTCGGGCGGCATCGCTGGATCCGTCAGTGCTGTGATAACGTGCCCACTTGAGCTAGTCAAGACTAGGTTCCAAAGCTCGCAATATTACACCGAAAATGTAAAATGGAGCTTCCGGAAAAATCTATTTCGAGCCACCTTTGGCCACGTGTCTACCACCCTGGGAGCGCTTCGGTATTTTGCTATTTTCATTTCTAGATTGATTTATTTAAACGAGGGCTTTTTCTCCTTGTGGAAAGGCGTTGGCGCCACATTGGTCGGTGTCATGCCTTCAAGGGCAATCTATTTTTCTTCCTATCAAACGTGTAAAACTCATTTTAGTCAATTTTTCTCCAACGGCATAGAAAGTGCCCCAATTCACATCGTATCTGCCATTTCAGCAGGTATGCATGTTTCATTCTCATTTTCAATGCTAGGAATCGTTACCACCACAGCAACAAATCCAATTTGGTTGGTTAAAACTAGAATCCAGCTTCAGTCGACCCCAAAGATTTATAAAAATTCTTTTGATTGTCTCAGAAAAATCGTTCGTAACGAGGGTCCGTTGGCGCTGTATCAAGGAATGACAGCATCCTATTTGGGGTGCGTCGAGGGGGCGATTCAATGGGTCCTTTATGAAAAGCTAAAGGCTTTTTTTAAAGAAAAATCAAAAGCATCTTCCGAAAGCGGTTCCGGAAAGGCAGCCTTTTTTGCGGCAGCAATTTCTAAAGTCGTAGCGTGTTCCCTGACGTATCCCCATGAGGTTTTACGAACTCGACTGCGCCAAGGGGTGGTTGGAACGCCAACTCAAATTAAGGCTCCATATAAAGGCTTGGTGTCCACTATTCGAAGGATTTACACCGAAGAGGGAATAGCACCATTTTATGGCGGCATGACTGCCCATCTCCTTAGAGTCGTTCCCAACGCGGCAATTATGTTCCTTTGTTATGAGCTTCTTGTTAGCTCAATATCTTACAAATATGGCTGTAAAGAAAATTTTGCTTCCTCGGAAAAGGAAGAACTAAAGGCAGTATAAGTATAAAGCGCCACGGCAGCGACCGTGGGAGGTTGTAAACGTAATAATTTAACAAATAAATTTATTGTAATTCTTCAAGCTCCATTTTGTCAGCACACAAAGCTTTGTATTTCAGCCTCCAAAGACCTTTTGGAAATGCTTGAAGAAAGTGCTCTTACAACGTCTTTGGAAGATATACAAGGGGCTGATTGTACAATGGTTTCCTTTGGCTCTACAATGGTTTCCTCTGGCTCTACAATGGTTTCCTCTGGCTCTACAATGGTTTCCTCGACTTGGCCAGCGTATATCGTTCCAAGTTCATTGTTCTCAAAAACAATGGATGAGCAAAACCCATCCGTCGATGAAATAACGAGAACAATGGAGTCATCTTTGCATATCTTGGTCCAGCAAAGATCGGTGATCGCGGCAAAATGCATGCCATTCAACACAACCAACGGAGAAGCCCGATCGGTGCGGTATATAATAACGGAATCTTGCGTTCCAACTGCAAATACCATTGCATATGGTAGAGATATCAACGACGTTCCGCCGATCAGCTGAAACAAACTTGGATGGAATCGAACAACAACCGGCGCCTTATCAAATGGCCCCAGAACAATAGAAGGCATAGCCTGAGCAGTGCTTGAAGGTTACAAATCCGATATGGTGTTACGTTAATAAACTAGCGCGGGAGTACAAAAATAGACACAAGTGTTGCCGCCTAGCAAAGGGAGACGTCGCATCTGCAATGATGCCGCATGGGGTGGCCAAAATAGACCCATCTGGGCTAAACGAAAGCCTTCGGAAAAATGTGACCAACGTTTCATCGTTGAACAGTTTTGCATAAGTGGGTTTGCCTGAAACTTCGGCGCATTGATTAGAGGGCACACGAGATAGAATGTGTATGCATTTGGTTGAGAATTTCTTATGATTTTCATAGGAATAAACCTTTACGGATCTCAAAATTACGAGAAACATCCGGTACCTGTCGCTGCTTTGGGTTGCAAAAAGAAATCCAAGCGGATCTAAGCTAATGCCTTGCACAAAATGAGAATGATCGCGAAGTATCCTTGTTATTTTTCCTAACGGATAGCAAGCGTGTGCATTACCTGTAGAGTAGCACCAAATTACGGTATTGTTGTTGGTCAGGGCCAGGATGATAAAACTGCCGCAAGGGGACCACTTTAGATCGTAGATGTCTTCAGAGTCAGCAATCCTTCAATTAATGCAAAGACAAACCTGCAAATGACGATAGGATTCCACGTCTCTTGGTTTTCCGAGCCATTCTGATCAGACGCATCTGTCGAGGCCATGCCAAGTTCAGCATTTGGAGATCGCGCCTGAAGTGACCAAAGGATCAAAAGAGCGCCTAGAAATAGCCAAAAAATCGATACCATCACCGGCAGAGGCAAGAATGGTTTCTACAAATTAGCAAACACAAGTGGGAAACCTTTTGGGTGAAAAGATATCGAGTTTACTGCCTTTGTGTGTTTGTGCAGCGAACTGAGATGAACAATTTGATATGAATCTGAGAACGTCCAGACCTACATATTATGAGCCGATGTTACTCTGATAGAGTTGTCAGCACCTGCAGAGGCAAATCTGAACACAGAATCACTGCATAGTGCATAGATGGGCTGTTTTTCATGCCAATACACCTCAAGCAGTTTGGCTTTCATTAATTTTAATTTTAATTTCTTTGTTGAAATGGCTGTTCACTCGACTTTTTCTTCCGTCTCCACCTCCACCCCGGCTTCTTCTGCTTCCTCTTCCTCGTTGCTACTTTCGATTTGCTCCGGTTTGGGGAAATACAAAACCACTGGCGAAAAAAGTGATCTGAAGACCGAATATATTTTTGATAAAGAAATTAAAATTAAAATTAATGAAAGCCAAACTGCTTGAGGTGTATTGGCATGAAAAACAGCCCATCTATGCACTATGCAGTGATTCTGTGTTCAGATTTGCCTCTGCAGGTGCTGA